GTGCAAATACTGAGGCACACCATGCTCCATCAACCATGAAATGGGAGAGAAACATCACTGAGATAACATCAGCAGATGATGAAACACCATCTGAACAGAGGGGCAAGACCACCACTTTAGTGGTTTGTTACTGCCATTTGCATAAAAGCAGGACTGATGGATTCCCTCCAAAATACACAATAAGGCAAGGCTAGCAGCATCAGAAAGAATGACCTGAAGAAGCAAGAGCAGAAAACAGTGAAAACACGTGGATTAAAGACTGCTCAGGTACATGCACCTTATCTGTGTGTACCCTGTACAAATGATAATATTGTTTCTGCAAAAACACTTCACCTATCTCCCTCTAGGAGACACGATTACAATGTAATAGAGATAAAAGAAAGGTTGGAAATGACCATCTTTCCTGAAGCATAGAGTCACTGTGCATCAAGAAGGTCAGACTGTTAATTCTTGCCTGTTTAAGTAATCCTTACTCATGCAAAAATTCCCAATTAATTCATCAGGAAAAAATGCTGTATTAGCCTAAAACTCTGAAAACCAGCAGAATGCAAATGCCTTCTTCACATGAGGTCAAAGTTATTCAACTGAATGGATCTTTCAGGACAGTCAATTAACTTCCTGAAGAATATGTGAAGCTTTAAAAAACTGAGGCTAGGACTGAAGCACTGGGGCACAGCAGCTGAACTAAACTGGTATTTACTGAAATAGAGTGGTCCCCTTCCTCTGCTGCTTGGAAAAATCAAGCCCACATCATCAATGGCAGATTCCTTCAAGTATAATTGATTTCTTGTACGTGGGTTACAATTTAACTTATTCAGAGGAGTAAACAACCACACGAGCAGCAGTGGCCATATTTTAGTGTAAGGAATGGACTTCTCTTTGTGCTGGAAATGTTTGCACAGCAGCATCCAAAGAATGCGTGCAACAAGAAAACATGCTGCAATGAGCCATGTGAGGCTGTGCACAATCAAATTACAGGAGGTAGCATTTTCCAGCGGTTAGAATCACAAGGAGTTGTTTCTATTCTGGGATGTACCTGGCTTTCCGTTTGACCTTGGGTAATAACTTTACATGCACTCTCTCTGGGCATCCCTCTCCTCATTTGTAAAAAGATGCAGGATCCGCTCTGGCAATGAACTAATTAAAATAATTCTGTACGAGGATGGAAACTTTGATCAGCAAGCTGAATTTTGCTAATGCGTGAGTACACAGACTACAGACTGTGATCGCTGTGCTCTCATAAGGAAAAAAGCATTTTAATTAAAAGTTTTAATTTCTATGAAAATTGTTTTAAAAGTATTAATACTTAACAATTTTAAATATTTTGATTTCTTTCTTTCCCTGCACCATTAAAATTGCAGTGACATTCAGCGGTGACAGAATTAACAGTGCTATGGAAGGACTGATTGAAACATCAGCAAGAGGACACAATATGTCTTACTGTGACTGTGGCATAACAGATCCCCTATGATTGTCCTCAACTCACCTGCTGGAGGAATTCCACAATATGTGCACACCTGTGCTCACCTGTTGGGAGTTTTAACTCTTGACAGCCATGTAAAGTATGCTTTTCGGTAAGCAAGGAAACAGGGAAAGCTTTCCCCTTCTTTGTATTGCTTGTCAAAGGACATCAGGAGATTGCACCCACTTTCTGAACTGCAGAGATTGCTCAGATTGCTGTCAAGGATGCAAGACCAGCAGGAGGGGGGAAATAACTGAAGGAGTAGAGCTCAGGGTGCTGTTTTGTACAGCTGGTACGTCAGTGTACAACTGGAAGCACAGACTCCCTCAGTGTGACCCCAACTGCCAAGATAGCTGATACCTCTGCGAAGAACCATGCCCTAGAACTGGTACTGCTGCCTCTGCAGAACTTCCACAGAAAATGCTGTCTGAATGAAAAGTACAGATATGCTATGCTTAGGAATAATGTAACTCATCCTATCTTTAAGGGTCTTCAGACAGAATCCTTTTATCATGAATGCCCGGCTCCTTTAAATGCTTAGCGCTATAAGAATTTCTGTTCAAGGCAATAAAAAAATCCACGATGCTGACTTAACAATTCCCTCTGATCCGCTGGAGTCCCTGCAGTCCTCCATTAAGTGAATTTCCTCGGACTCCTATCTCAACGCCTGGGAGGGGGCAGAACGGCTCCTTCCCGCAGCATTTATTTACTTGTAACAGTTGCTTACTCTCCCAGGAGGAAAAAAAAAATGCCATAAGCACGCGAACTTGCAAATCAGTGACGAACAGAGAAGACACAGATTGGACCCGACAGGAGGACAGGAAGGAAGATCTACTGAGTGCCCTCTCTGACACCGCACTGACCGCACGGTAACAAACACAGCTAACAGCAGGGTTAGCTACTGGACCGTACTGAGTGGAAGCTCAGAACGCCAAGCGCTGCCAACGGCAATATCCGAGGGTAAAGTCCCGACTCCCGAAATTAGCAGAGAGCTGAGCCGTAAGCAAGCCTTACCCAAGCAGCTCCCATTCACCAAAAGCACCACAAGGCAGGGTCGGATTTCCGAAAGCCTGTGCTGAGCGCTGGGGTCAGTAAGCACACGTGCCTTTGAACACCGTCCCTTGCACCACTTGCAGTAGTAATAAGTCCCTTGTCCTGCTTTACCTGCTTTCCGACCCACGTTACTTTAGGGACGCGCTCTCGAAGAGCCCCCCGGCAGATCTCTCGGCACCTGCCCGCCTCTCCTTTGGGGCACGGGTGACCGACAAGCGCCTGCTCTAGGAGGAGGGCAGCTCCCGCGGCGGCGGCACGGGGGGAGCCGGGGATTCCTTACCTCCATGCCGAGCCGCTGCTTCAGCACCAGGGCGGCACACAGGTACCCGGCGCGTCCCACGAACAGCTCGTCGGAGCCGCACTCGAGAAAGGAGAGCGGCGCGCAGACCTCGCTCAGCTCGCGGAACTTGCCCAGAGGCCGGGCGAAGTCGGGCAGCCCCAGCGCCCGGTACACCAAGGCTGCCACCGCGTACACCCCGGCGCCGCCCAGCAGGAAGGCGGCGCGGGTGTCGGCGTCGGCCTCGCCGCCCGCCTCCTGGTAGCGCAGGCAGGCGTCCACCACGCGCCGGGCGGCCCGCAGGTAGGCCTCCCGCGACGGCGCGAACAGCGGGCACTGCGCGACGTGGTACAGCATGTAGGCCACGCCGGCCACCCCGCCGTACAGCCCGCCTTGGCAGACGCGGGGACTGCCCGCCGCCCCGCCACCGAGCGGCGGCAGCTCCTTCAAGATCCGCTCGATGGTGGCCGTCACCAGCGGCACCGCCGCTTCTTTGTCCGGCGCGGCCGCCAGGCTGCCCGCGTAGTCATCGAAGCGGTTGGCGAAGCAGCGCTGGCTCGCCATGCCCCCGCCGGCGCGGCGCTCTGCGCAGCGGGAAACAGCGAGGGGCGGCCGGGAGGCGGGAGCGCGGCAGGGAGGAGCGAGGAGGCGGGAAGGGGCGCCCCTCGGGGCCGGGTTGCCGCCCCTTCGGTCCTCCCTGCCGGGCGCGGGTCTTCTCGCGTCGCCCTCTTGGCTGCTGCTCGTCTGCTTGCAGCCGTCAGCGGATCCGCCGGGATGAAGCGTGTACAGAGGCTTGCGTCCTCCCCACGCCGCTGGAGGATGAGGCTCTGGGAGGGCAGGTAGCAGCTGGGTTTTCTTGGCTGGGAAGCGGCCCCCCAGGAGCTGCGGACACATGTACACGAGGGGAAAGCTGAGCGACTCCCTGACAGCCTCGCGATCACACCGGACCGTGTGTGGCTCCTTCAGGCGCGAGCCAAGCAGAGCTTGTGAGGAAGAGAAGATGTGGGCCACTGAGTGGGCTTCTAGTTAAAAGAAACCAGGTCGACATCAACAACAACAGCTTGATAAAGCTTGAGGCCAACACTAAGCGCAGCTCTCGTCCGTGTGAACTGGTGGACGGTGAAAGACCATCCAAGGGCTATGCCTCCGTAGTTCCTTTGCACGTAGTGCCTTTCATCTTTCAGTTCCTGGTACACAATGGGACAAATATTATGATTTAAGTCAAAGAATCTCATCACCTCCACGGGGTTTTGGATTAAGTCACTTACAGCAATCATTTCATAGAACACAGAATCATAGAATGGCTTAGGTTACAGGGAACTCGCAGCCCATCCACCCAACCCCTGCTGTGTGTAGGGCTGCCCCCCACCAGCTCAGGCTGCTCAGGACCCCATCCAACCTGGCCTTGAGCTCCCCCAGGGCTGGGCTACCACAGCTTCTCTGGGCAGCTGTGCCAGCACCTCATTGCCCTCTCCATGAAAAATCTCCCCCTGACATCTAACCTGAATTTCTCTTCTTTTAATTTAAAACCGTTCCTCCTTGTCCTATCACTGTCTACTTGTATAAAAAGTCTTCCCTGAAGACTTATGCTTATGAGCTCCTTTTAAGTACTGGAAAGCTGCAATGAAGTCTTCCCTGAACACTTCTCCAGACTGAACATGTTTTCATGTTTTTTTCAGCCTGCTTTCATAGAAGAGGTGCTCCAGCCCTACAATCTTCTTTGTGGCCTTCCTCTGGACCTGCTCCAACAGCTCCGTGTGTTTCCTGAGCTGGGGATCCAAAACCTGGACACAGTAGCCTGGGTGGGGCATTACCAGGCATTTCAAGCACCATATTTTTGCTGTCGGATGCCTTTGCCTTCAGCACATTATGGTCAACAATTTTTTCTCTTGAGTGTTTTTACTCATGTTCCCTACATTTTTCCAAAAGACTGATGCTCCTCTGGGTTGTCAGCAAATGTTACACATGTAAGCTTAGGAAATCAAATAATAGTTTATACAAATCAAATCATTTAATACAAAACCATGTTTTTTGCATCTATTTCTGGAAACTATGACATGCTGTGCTGTAACAAAACCTGACATCAATGGCATAAGTTAATAAACAGTAAATTAATGAAGATGCTTGGTCTTGAGTTTCTGAAACCAAAGCTCCTTGTACTTCTCTGATAATGTTTGTGGTGCTTCTAGGTTTGTATTTGCCCACACCACAAGTGTAAATATTTGCTTCAATATCGTCAGGCTTTGAATTTTTCATTCCAACATATTTTTTGCTCTCTCATTTTGAGGATACTTACTTTATGTTTTCAGTCTCTTGTTCAGATTTAAAAGGCAGATACTTTCCTGCAGTCTTTTGGATTGGGAGATGAGTTGGACAGGGTTCTCCTGTTGATGGCTAAGGAATCCTCTCTTTTGGTGCTTGTCTTCCTGCAATGAAAGAAACCACAAGAGTCACCTTGGCTTGTACATCTTTCTGAGAATCTCAGCATGAGGAAATGGATCTTTGCCAATTTCAGCAGCAAATGCTTTAAGAAAAATATGAACTTTACAGGAAAATCAATTGGGTTAGCAACATTGTTCTTTAAGAGGGTCAAACAAGACGGCTACAGTATTTTTTATAAAGAAGCCTGTAATCACATTCAGAAAAGGAATAGAAATGTTCTCAAGAGTCTTTTGATAAAGTAAAGAGTGCTTAGCTACTGCAGGGCAAGCAGATGTTGTGCAGCAGTCAGTGAGAAATGAGGATGATGGTTTCAGCTGTACCTTTTTTGTGGAGGAGCACTGAAGTCAATAGGACAGCTGAAAAAAAAATTACATGGATACTTCTTACAACTGTACATTTATATTTATGTATGTATTAAATTGACTACCTTAAACTGCTTGTGTTGCCTTGTATAAAGCTTTCATGGTTTTAGATATGATGCATTCTGTATGCTTTTCACTCAGATAATGCCTAGATGCACTTCAGATATGAAAGGAAGAGAAGGAAGGGTATATCATGTCTCCAATGCATATCATATGTTTCTCATCAGATCTTAGTTTGCCCTCCTCTAGTGTCCCAGAGGACCTATGCGTGTGGTTTCAAGATGAGAAAAATGTGTTTCTCCCCCATTTTTCCCTTCTACACTGGTTTATGCTTCCTAGGTATGCCATACTTCTTGATCCAAGAAGCCAAAGAGTTGGAGGCAAATTGCAGATGGTAGAAGTAAAAGGTTTTGAGACAGGTGTGGTGCATATAGGTAATAGAGGGGGGAGCTGAATCCTCAAAGTTGCTGCTTCCGTTCTAGAAAATCTGTCCATACAGAGCACATCAGTTTGTCAAACACATGGGCTTTGGGGTACCCGTATGGTGGCCAGTTTTGTTCCTACACTGTATTCCAAATCTCTCCAATGCTGAAGGTGAAACACTGGGCTTGCACTCCCAGCCTAAGCTTCAGTAACAGATGTGTATTTAGAGTTGTCCTAGAGGCTGTCCAGACCTATTAGAGTGCACTGGCTGTTGAATTCAAGAGTAGCTCCTACTCAATGTACTGAAATCAGCCATCAGTACCTGTTACTGCCCAGTGCTGCCATTCCCTCTCAGGAGAGCTCTCCCTGCCGGCTCAGGCTTTGTCCTGGGAACCCTCACTCCTAAAAGAGTGTCTCTGGAGTTCATAGGACAACCTCTCTGCTTTGTAATCAGTTCTTGGCTGATAGGCAGCTGGCTCTTGGGCAATTGGCAGAAGGGATTGAGTTAGGCAGAGTTGTTTCATGTCTGCACTAGAATTATAGAATCATTAAGGTTGGAAAAGACCTCTAAGATCATCAAGTCCAACCATCAAGTGCCCATTTTCCCCTTATGCCCTTCTTCTATCTTTGCTGACATGGGTTTTTGAAGAATAACATAGCACTGTGTGCTGCAGATACTGTGCTAGCAGCCAAAATACAGACAAGTCTGACCAGAAGACACCCAGCAGGGGCAGTCCCAGGGGTTTCATAGCACTGTCATTCACATCCTTCTCCTGGCTGCTCAGAGATTTGTGCTCGTGGTTACTGTAAGTATTTTTTCATTTCTCAGATTGTCTTAACCTGTGCTGTATGGGCTCTGCTCACAAACTGCACAAAAGCTTTTAAATTTTTGTTCCCTGACAATCATTTGACAGTGATGTGCAGACCTATTTGGAAAATGAAATACTTTCTTGGCCCTGCACAGCGGAAGCTTTTTTCCAAAGTCAGCCTTTTATTCCGTTACTTGTGCGTGGTTGGTAATACAAACACAATTTCTGCATGACAGAAGTGATGTAACTTTTACTGCTTGTATTGCCATTTCATCACAAGGAAAATTACCTATCACAAGATAGAACATTATTTCACAGAGATTATGTTAAATATTGTGTTAAATATTTAAATTATCATACATCATTTGGAGTCCAGTAGGTTTACTTTTACTGTTCTTGTGCTTTCATGAAGCAGACCTACCTTCTGAGACATGTTTGTTGTTAAACAAGCTGGTCCATGAACAGTGAAACTAGTAAAGTTGGATGTCTTGCTGATTTGTTTTCTATTTTCCATAGTGGCCATCTTTCTCCCAGGCCTGTGCCATGCCAATAGTTCTCACCCAGTTGCACTGTTCCTATCTGGCAGGTGAGTGTAGTTGTAGTTGGCCCGTGGTTAAGGGCTGCACTGAACTGCCTTTTGCCCCAAGAGAACTGCATTTTTGTTCACAGCTCAGCTTGATGAAGCTTAGGAATTGAACAGAAAATTTATTTCTTTGAGGCTCTGTCTTTATTACTGAATTTGTTTGAAATTGGCAAACAGATGCAAAATCATGGGATTACGTGTGGAATGATAAGTAGGTAGATGGGCAGTCATACATGACCATGTGTGCCTTGCTTCCTTAGGAGGCAAGGAAACAATGCTAGAGAGTTGGTTGAAAAGACTGGATTATTTTAGCAAGAGTATCAGTATAGATAAAGCACAGCAGCTGTTGTGAAGTCTCTCATTTTTCGTTAAGGAAAAGCATTATATCACTTTCAATACCTCTACGCATTCTTATTTGCATGCTTGTTGACAGATGAATCACTACCACACCATTGCTGACAAATGCCAAAGCTCTCTGCAGAGCAGGAACTTTGATATTCTAAGTTTTGGCTTTTCTGGCAAAAATCTGTCTTCCAAAAGAGCACACTTGGGCCCTAACCCGAGCCACCCACTGGTATGGTTATTCCTAGAGTTCCTTTAGCTTGAACCTTCTGAAACTGGCAGGATGGTGGACATTTTCCTGCAGATATGTCTGTCACAATCTTCAGTTTCTTTGCCAAGCAGATTATGTCCAGTTCTGTATGTTCAAGGTGATTTCTAATGAACCAAGAATACTTTTAAATGCTTAGAGAACAGTAGTTAATTTGCAGCTCTCTGCGTGGTTCCAGCATTGGCTAACACAATAGAATCATAGAATCACAGAATCATAGAATCACCAAGGTTGGAAAAGACCTAAAAGATCACCCAGTCCAACCGTTCACCTATTCCCAATAGCTCCTACTAAACCATGTCCCTCAACACAACATCCAGTCTTTCCTTGAACACCCCCCGGGTCGGTGACTCCACCACCTCCCTGGGCAGTCCGTTCCAGTGCCTGACCACCCTTTCTGAACAGGAATACTTCCTCATGTCCAGCCTGAATCTCCCCTGCCGTAGCTTGAAGCACAATAATGAAGCACAAAATCCTGCTGTGTTCTCCATTATTGATATTAAAATAAAATAGCTAGTTCTGTATTAATAATTAGTCTGTCAGTGCAACACACAATATCAATTTGAAATTTTCTTAAGTGCCTCTATGCTACAACTGGTGTTCATGCAAGATCCAGGATTTTACTTGTAACATTTTTGGCAGGTCTGGAATTTGGAACCATTTCAAGGCACAGGAATAAAATCATTATCTGAAGTTAAGTAATGTTTTTACTTAAAAACAGCTAACATTTTTGTCTGTGATATTTCACTTGAATTTTCTTCTCTGTACATTGTGCTATTGCCTTTGTGCTACCTTATCTCAGTAATTGTCATGATGGAAATGAGCTTGTGAAGGCAAGGAGCTCACACACAGCAGCTGCAGATGATGAAGAAAGCTGAGGACAGTAACCACTCTTTGCATCCCCAGGACCAGGCACAGCCACAGGCAATAAATAATTAAACACTGTTGAAATTTCAGCTTTTTGTTTGTTTGTTTTGTCAAACTATCAAAGCATTATGACAAAGCTGGATTTGCAACAATAAAAACTGTAATCAGATACTTGTTTGAAGTCTTTTCTATCCAGCTATTTTCATCAGACCTAAAGGAGTGAGGAAGCCTAGGTTAGGGAACAGGGACACAAGCATAATTGCATACATCTAACTTTGTGTGAGAGCAGTCTGTTCTAGATGCTTTCATGAGTTAGCAAAATACTGACTTACCTCCATAGGATCCTGATGAATTATCCTTTACAATTGCAGACTTAGAAGAACATAAAATAACCTGACTTAGCACGTATGGTCATTGTCCACTCAAAGAATAGAACAGATGGCTTTATTTAAGATGTTGGAAATAGGCTGATAGTCAAGAAAACTACAGTCACTCCTGAAATTTTCCAGATGGACACATTTCAAAATACAATTCTAAGTATATTCACAGAGTTGTTGGGGTGGGAAGGATGCCCTGGGTCCTTTTGGCCCAACCCCTGCCCCAGCAGGGATACCAAGAGCACAGTGCTCAGGGCCATGTCCAGGTGACTTTTGAAGATCTCCAAGGAGACCCCACAGCCTCTCTGGGCAGCCTGTACCAGTGCTGTGTCACTCACACGTTACAGAAGTGCTGCCTGGTGCTCAGATGGAGCCTTCCAGTTTGTGCCCACTGCCTCTTGTCCTGGCAGCGGGCACCAACGACAGGAGCTTGGCTCCATCATCTTTGCAGCCTCCCTTCAAATATTTATAGACATTGATGAGATACCCAAGCCTCCTCTTCTTTGGGCTGAATAGTCCCAGCTCACTCAGCCTCTCCTCACCGTGCCCCAGTGCTCCAGTGACTTCACCTTTGTGCTCCTTCACTAGACTGTCGAGTAGCTCCATGTCTGTCTTGTAATGGGCAGCCCAGAATTGGACCCAGTGCTCCAGTGATATTCTTGTTCTACTAAATTTTGAGAGGCCATAAAATTCTCTATTTTTCTTTCCTTTTAAAAACATTTTGCAAACAGAGGTCAGACAGTTTTTTAATTCTTAGGAATCCTGAAGCAATACATGATGTGCTTTTTCTTGAAACAGTAATGATGTTTTCGTGGGAAACTGCCAAGAACATTTCAAAATCAATTTCTGTTCACATGTATTTACAGCTCGTGTGATGAGTATGATGTCTGTCTTCATTTCATTGCTACATTAGTCTGATGGGAATCATAGAAGCTGTGCTAGCCTGTGCTAGA